TGTGTGAGAATTTATTGTCTGTCCAAGTCCAGCAATGTTTGGGAGATTTTAAAGAAAGTTTTGCTAATAGAAGCTAACAGCCGCTAACTGAGGCTAACAGCAGCTAACAGAGGCTAACAGCAGCTAACAGAGGCTAACAGCCGCTAACTGAGGCTAACAGCAGCTAACAGAGGCTAACAGAGGCTAACAGCAGCTATTAGCAACAAAAACAGTAGCGCTTTGAGAGAAAAGCACAGGATATCCTCAACAGCTCAACTCAGTATTGCTGTCACTTGCAGGGGTGAGCTTCACTGACTCATCCACTCATATCAGTTTTTCGTCCTCCTCCAAAGTAAATAGACGTGAACACCATCTGAGGTAAACAGCGGACTGCCGGTCTACATTCACTAGAGATAAACAGCTGTAAGACTTTTTGTCTCACGGCAGCCACCATAGCTAGGAAATATAGAAGAAACTCTGCGATCTGCAATCTTCTGACATCTAGTGGCGCGATTTTATAAACTGTACCCTTTTAAAGAAAACAAAAACTTAAAAATCTGCAAGAAAGATGATGTCATTGCTGTTTACCTTGTCTGTAGGTTTTCTGTATCTTAAACAACAGATGAATATTTGGTTTAAAAAAAAAAGTCATAAAATTAATTGGGACATCTGGCATTATTCTAGATTTGCTCAGTGCTTTCTGGCTCTCTCTAGCTCAGGCACTCCTATGATTATCTTTGGCAATCCCACTGCTTCCTGCTGAATACACAAATCTTTCAACAAATTGTTTTGTTTTTTTTCCCTGGCAAAAAAGAAAAAAGAGAAAAATGCTCGGTGATTTCCCCAAACAGCTGAGGACTATTTGTAGTGATGGATTAACACACATTTACTGCTTGAGTGATTATTTGGGGCAGCAGGACGATATATGTAGGACCGAGTCGAAGTAAATTATGACTTCTGAAAAGAACACATCAGTCAGTGCAACAGTGTAACTCACTGTGTTTTTAGCAGTTCCTGGACAAACAATGGACCTCTGTGCTTTAGGGGATGATGGCTTTGGATGCAAAATACCTATTTGTATTGAATCTTATGGAAAGAGTCCAGTATTGACTTAATGCTAGTTAGCTAGCATTGATGCATGCCAGACTGATGATGATAACTGCTGACCACGGTTTCACTGAAACAGAATCTTAACCCAGCTCAAGTTTTATAATTCAAAATTCAAAATGGCAATGAAACCTTTGTTGAGCAGACTTTTTGCAAGACTCACATGCCACATGCTTCAAATGTGCATACGCTTTTTCTGCAAGAATGTTCATAATACTACACACAAACACACGTCTACGTGATTTCCGGGTATTTTTACTGTTGTGCACAAATGAAGATAAACAAGCTGCACACATGACACACAAACTGCACATAATTCATCGTGCAGATTTAGAAAGACCTTGTGGGAGCATTAAAGGCAGTCGCACACATACAGGCACATGTGCGCACGCAGCCACGCACACATTTCTGTCAGCCAGCGAGGTTCATGCGAGGACAGCCGAGTCGTGTGTTGCTGAGCAGCGTGTCGTATCGTGCGGAGATGACAAGTGAGAGAGGCCTCTGATGTGCTCTCATCGGGTTTTGACTGATTTTCACAGCTGCATTTTCTTAATTTTTCCAACGCATCGTGAAATATATTTCTGTGGAACCGCTTTGTGTCACTTTCTCGTTCCTCTTTCTGCATTTTTCTGAGTATTTGCTTCGTAAGTCAGCTGGCAGCGTTGCGCTTTCAATATATTTTGTCACTGGAAGTCTCCCCATCTCGCTATGAGCAGGATAACGAGATCCACATTCATTAATCAAGTGTGTTAGCACAAAGCATCATGGGAAGACTACATCCAGTCACATGGTGTTTTCTAGTGCTGTCAGCTGTATCAATGAC